CGCTCACCAAGCCCTTATAACTTTATTTAAATGTTTCTGCTTTAATTTTTGCTAAAGAGATTATTTCATAAAAACTCAAGACGACGCAAATATTTAATTAATAATTAAAATAAACTATTCAGTATATGATTTAAGTTGACTAATAGTTTTAAGTTGCTTAAAAGTATATACTCAAATAATTTTATCTATATTAAAAATCATAAATAAAAAATTTGTAAATATTTTAAATCATATAGCAGTTTAACTTCTTAAATAATTCAATGAGATTGGAGAAATTAAGTGATAATTATTATTTGATATTTAAATTGACCTGATTTTGAAAATAAGCTAATAAAATTGAAAATATAAGTAATATTTATAATTTATATTCTATTATAATATATATTATTTCTCTTTATCTAATTAAATAAGAATGTGTTTTATAATAATTAGAAATTATTTTTTGAAATCTTCTTTGTTTATTATTAGCAAATTCTATTTCATCATTTATTATTGTTCCTATTATTAGACCTAAATCTTAAAAGTTTTCTTGTTCATTAAATTATTTCATTTTAAATATAGTATCTTAGTTCCTTTTATAAATTCTATTCCAAATCTCAATAATTAGTTTTAAGATGAATTAATTTTAGAAGTAAGGACTATCTTATTTACTTATAAGTCAGTTAGGTCGATTATTTCAAAATCCTAAGAATAATTGAAGTCTTCTATATCCCACTTCTATATTAGTCATAAAATGACAATCCTGTTAATTTTAAAAACTTCCAAATATTATAACAACCTCTACTCAGTAAGGGGTACTTATTTATTTAAAACAACTGCTTTCTAGCTATAGCTTACTATTCGACAAAAACTACAAACACTTTTTAAATGATATGTTGGCTTTTTTGTTGAAATTACTGAGGATAGAACTAATGCAGGGAAATGTTTTTTGATGAACAGGTTTACATTAGCAGAAACTACTAAATTATTGCTTGATAATAACTTAAATTATAGAATTCTAGAGGTCATAAAAATCAAAGGTTATTTTGATCATTTACTACCTCATATTCTACTTAAGTTTATAATTGAAAATACTTCTACTAAACTTAAAAGAGTCAATAATCTTATTATTTCTGTAACATTTTAAGAAGGAAATTGTTAAATTGTGATAGTGTATCTTTATTCTTCCATCCATCAAGTTCTTAATATACTCAATATGGAATAGCTTTTGTATAAAAAAGCAATAATTATAATAATACAACCATTAGTACCAAAATAAATACAGTTTTTGTTATATTTTTGGATTTATGTGATTGATGTTTGACCAATTTAGTCTTCTTGGTTTTGATTTTTGATTTTAATAAAATATACAAATCATTTCATTTTAATTATTGAAAAAATAAATAAGAAAAGTATATTCAAATAGTTAGAGTCAATTGTAGAGCATTTAAAGGTTTTTCTATTTAATTAAATTTCATAATTCAAATCAGATTCTTATTTCGATTCAGTAAATTATTTTCAAGACTAAATCTCACTCTTTGATTAGTTTCAAAGGGTTATGAAAAGAATAGGGGTAAATGGCAGAAAG